AGTCCTAAGCTAGCACAAGACATCTTCCCTTACCAGTAACACGTGATTGGGGGAGGGCGAACTGCGCCCATTTTGAATTACGTCCTGGCATTTGCCTTACAGTTGAGGAAAAGCACGGAAAATCTCAAGGTCGTTGGTTAGTTAAACCACTCGTTGCTCACTGCTCTGATGCGGTCGTATCGTGAATTTGCCTGTTACGTTACTTGTGGGTTATCGGGACACATCGCTTTAAAAATAGGTTATGTTAGGTCAGGTTAATGTGTGTGTGGGAAAAATGACATATACTTGAAAGTTGGAGTCAAACATCTGGAGTTGGATTGGCACGGAAAACTGCGCATGCGTATCAGTATACCTATTTTTAAAGCGATGTGTCCCGATAACCCACAAGTACCCCTGTTACTAACGTACCGAGGCGGGCACTTTAGGAGTGTCTGCTGACCCCCAGACAGGACGGATGAGCTGTTTGTAGAGCAGCACACCGTATATGACGGATAGGCCACTTTTCCTATTAAGGAGGGGACCTAGCACGCCCAATCGTTAAGCAGTCTTCTTTCCCACGTGACTGACGTCCACCGACCAGGTAAGCCCGGTGTCAAGGGGTCAGATCCTCTGTATTCTCTGGTAACCAGCCTTATGTAGTTAGAGGAGCACTGTCTCGACTCTTATTTCAGTAAAAGACTTTTTATGAATAGTAACTTGTTGACCTTGGAGTGTTTATCACTGAAATCTTAATCTTACGTGACGTTAGGACAGTGTATGATGTCGCGTTATGGTATTATCAGATCTTATCTAGCAATGAAAGGCAGGAAACTGCGATAAGATGAGCAGTGAAGAGTTGTTTCTCAGACGAGACAGTAAATCAGTCCCGTTCGTCCGGTGTTAAAGCAGACGAACGTTTCATTATTACACCCGTCTTCTGAAGAACGTGGGGGAGGTTAGGCAACGAAGTTATAGTCAGCGCAGTAGTTCTTAGCCGGTGGCGAAGCTGGCGGACGGGCCTACTCTGTGTACCTGAAGTGGCACGGTCAGCGTATTTCTTTTGTTTGGGCGTTCAGTCCGAGACTCGCTCCTCGGCGCAGTCAGCATTATACTATCGCGAAAGAGACTCGCTCCTAGCCTTCCCCTTGAAAATTCCACCGGCCAAAAACTACTGCGCCGACTATACAACTGCTGATAGGGCCTTCGGTAAAGAAACATATGAAGTGAAAAGGACGATATCTTCTGCGGTAAGATATGGCTAGATGCTGTAATACTATTTAACAATGCTTCTAACTCGATTACTAGCAAAACACGATGATTCTTGACTACGTTTACTTTTCCATGAACGTATTCCAAGGTCAGTGGAAGTCATAAACGACCTGATTTAGATTAACAAATGTAAAAGTTTCTTACAGAAAATTTGTTTGTAATATTTGTTCTTTCTTTTTTTTTTTTTTTTTTTTTTTTTTTTTGAGGGGTAGAAGCTTGTAACAGTCGTCGAGCAGTTGGCCAGGAGACATGGAAAATGTTGTTGGTACGGCAGAACACGAGGCTGAAGGCAAAGTTAGTAGAATTGGCGACCACAGAGAGATCAAGAACAAGGGCACCATTGCCTCACCAGAGAGCAGGATGATAAATTTGGAAGAACAGCTGGGGGCAGACAGCCCGAAGTCATGGTTGGGACCGTGTCACCCTGGGAGGGAGCAGCTTGATAACGACGATTTGGGGCAAACAGTTCAGAAAGTGGAGGCCGGACAACGTCCTGAATGGGAAGATCTGAGAATATAGTCCCATTGATGAAAGCAACTGGACACAATTGAACTCCTTAGTCTAAAATCTAGGCACGAGACTGAACAAGCAAGATTTGTGATTTATAAGCTAAAAAACTGCAGTCAAGAACATAATTATTTATAATTATTGCAAATTTAATAAATCTTTATTTCATGCAAAGAACCCAGTAAGTTAGTCACTTACTATTGTATGATTTGAGGTTTCTCACAGCGGTGAGTAAGAAGATTTCTGTCTTCTGTAGTCTGGTCGATGTTAACCAACGTTTCAGAGGTCATACTGCCTCCGTCATCAGGGCGATGAGTATGAAGATTTCTGTCTTCTGGGTTGTTGCGCTGTGTAGTCTGGTCGATGTT